CCTCCTCCTCCCTTCCCCCCCGTCCCCCCCTCTCTCTCGCTCTGCCTCCTTATCTCCCTCTCTCTCTTACACACACACACACACACTACCCAATTTTGCTAAGAAAGTACAGCTGAATGTGACACACCTGAAAACAGTTTAGCGTCACAATTTAAAAGTCACTTTCCCTGATCATCCGTTGATTGGTGTAAGTAATGTAGCTCAACAGCGACCCCAGCAGTCATGCCTTTCACCTTTCATATTATTATCCCGCTCGTTACCGTCAATAAACCACAACTTTATTTATACTTGCAGAAGACAGGAACGTTGGATTACAATCCCCAAGTGTGTGACGCCCTTTCTTGGTTGCGGGTGCCCTCTTGTGAGAGAATTTGCACATTGCACCTTTGAGAGATTTTAGTTTCACTAACCAGTTTTGTTAGGATTAAAACTGAGCAGATCAGAGGGACAGCTAAGGTGGAGATAAATCATGTTACGAAGTCTGGTTCAGTCTGTCAAAATACAGTAATATATATTCACCGTTTCATTTGAACTATTAAAATAATAACATTCCTGCATTTTGTGTAAAGCAAGACAAAATTGATACAAATATATTTACCACCTATTATTTGTCCTGTTGATGAATGTCAGTGAACTGTCTGTATTTATCATAGCTGTCTTGTTCAAGGTTATGTTTTGCCTGTGTGTCCAGGTCAGTCGATAAAACGAGTCGGCCTTGATCGTTCATCCATGCTGTAACTCCACACCCACACTCATATTCACACAGCAACACAACAGCCACGGGCAACCACTCACTGGCCCAGCTCTCTCTCTCTCTCTCTCTCTCCCATGTATTGTACACACACAGGCTTGGGTCAGCTGCTATGGTGGAACACTCCAGTCACATCTGTGCACCACTATGAAGTGTGTGTACAATTTTCAAACCTGATCTATTAATACACCAGATTTGTAAAATCCGAGAATATTTGATATATATTAATATATTTCTTTCATCAAAAGAATCCGAGAATATTTGATATATTATATAAAATATATTAATATATTTCTTTCATCAAAACTAAAAAAATGTAAGGGTGAAATGCCTGTCCACATCTTAGTTCTATCTATTTTAGTAGAAATGGTCTACATTATAAATGTAGACCATCCTTGGTAGTAGGATATCCTTGATGTAGACAATTGTAGTAATAGCCCCTCAGTGGTGGTAGACTATCCTTGGTAGTAGACCATCATGGGTAGTAGACCATCCTTAGTAACAGACCATCCTTGGTAGTAGACCATCATGGGTAGTAGACCATCCTTAGTAACAGACCATCCTTGGTAGTAGACCACCCTTAGTAACAGACCAACCTTGGCAGTAGACCAACCTTGGTAGTAGACCAACCTTGGTAGTAGACCATCCTTGGTAGTAGACCATCATGGGTAGTAGACCATCCTTAGTAACAGACCAACCCTGGTAGTAGACCATCCTTAGTAACAGACCATCCTTGGTAGTAGACCATCCTTGGTAGTAGACCATCCTTAGTAACACACCAACCTTGGTAGTAACAGTGTTAGTGGTTCAATGAGAATCTGTAGACTAGTCTCCTTCCTTGTTCTTGCTTTTTTAAATGACCGTTGTCTTTAACCATTCTTAGTTCAGTTTTTTACAATTTGGACGTTTTAACATCTCCTGCAGAAGAGGGCATTACATTTTTTTTTTTTGAAGATGACAACTTGTTCAAGTCTCAAAATTACTTGAATAGAGACACATGTTACAGTACTAAACACTTTATTGGCTAAAGACTGGTTTCTTCCCACCATGGACATTTCACAAAGAAACACAGTGGAGTCAATTAATAAGTACAGAGAACAAGGGAACTGCAACCATAACAGCATCATACAGTAAAGAGCAGCAGCATCCTACTGACACAGTAGCTGACAGAAGCAGAGACCGAAGACAAATGTGCTGAGAAAGCAGCCATGTTCAAGCTGGAAGATTGTCCTGTAGGTTCAATGGGAACCAGAGTCATGTGATCAATCAGCGCTGCCTCACAGTTTGTTGAACTGAGTGCTGATTATTTCTTTACCTTCTTTAGCACATGCCTTTGTATTTGTACTGAATTTGATGTTGTTTAACTGTGGCAGCAGATTACTGCTCACCATCACATATGACCCATGTGACACAGTGTGTACTGATACTCACCTTACTTTTACTAAGGACATTTCAAACATTTTAAGTTTTAGTGGGATATTTAGGGAGTTCATGGAAAACATGTCACAAAATGAAATAGTTTCATTGATGGAACGAAGCACGTTTGCCATCACAAAAGTGATGCCAGATTTAATCCTAAAATAAACACTAATCAGATTTGGTAAATTTAGCCAAGTGTTCAGTGACACCAAGAATGTCTCAACATGATTCTATGTCACTCACCTACGCTAACACAGTGGTAACATCATAATCTAGGACATAAAAACATCAGAAGAGACTGACCTACCATGCCATAATGAAGGGCAAAAAGTTCCCACAAAAACAACACAAAAGAAAGAAATAGAATGTAGCACAATCCAACATATGGTAATATAATCCCAAACTTACTGAAGAATTATGATCAGGGGAAACAGACTCCAATAGATGTCACACCTGAACAGCTGTGTGTAAAGAATTGTTGTTGTCAATTAAACTTCACACATTGGGTTCAGTGAAGAATACGATCTTCTATAGCGTGAGTGCAGTTTAGTTTCTATAAAAGATGAGATTAAAGACCACGAAACAGTCAATAGTATACGCATGTTTTTAGGTTTTTGTACTCGACAGAATACAGTATAGAAAGTGCTATGATTACAATACACAGGCTAGGTGACGTGAACATAATAGTAATAATTCATAACAACAGTTAAATGTTCTGTATGGAGCTGCAGGGATAGCGTGAGTGTTTGTGGTCATCCCTACTGGACACAGCAGTTTTGTCCCACTGCGTCTTTAAAGCGCAGACACAGTTTAGGTTTGTAGTTTTCGAGGTACAGCAGCTGCTTGGAGTTCAACGCCCCACGACGCTTACTGACAACAGCAGAGAGATGAGGGAGACTGGAGTTAGATCGTTGTGTACAGAGTGACAACAACACACTGCCATTTTCACACTGGCACTAATATGGTATACTATAATATGGTATACGCTGCACAATTTGGCTTCATGTTTGCTTTCATTTTCCTAAATAGCTTTTACAAGTTATTTTAGATTATCAAAAGTTTTTCTTCTCAAACATAATTATTGGAGCTCAGATTCAACGTTATGTGCTCCACACTAAGGCGACATGTTTGACTTATGACTTTGACAAAACATGACATTTGGAATTTTATGGGCTCATTTATGAAAAGGGCAGGTTGATTTTTTTTTAAATTTCCAACACCGTTTACTGTTGTCTTAAAACCCTGCTCTGTTTGCTGTGTAACAAAAATGTAAAACTAAAACCCTCAGATACTGCATTGCAGTTGTTTTAAAAACATCATCAATAAAAGGAATCACACTCTCCATACCCTCCGTTTTTTAACATTTTGGAAGTATTTCTTTGACACAAATTTTGGCACTTATAGTTACTTACCCCAGTATACAGACTATAGGGTCAAATATATGTTCTTATTGTAAATAAAATACTTCAGTATCCACAGGGGTGATCTGGAGATTCTGTTTTTCACATTTTTTTTGTCAATAAATATCTATACATATTTTCTCTTTACAGTCTGAAGCAGAGCTAATGTAGTGAACTTACAGTCTGATGAACTGCACAGCATCTTCATATTCCATCCCACACTCAATCAGAGCCAACGCCACCAACACTGGAGCTCTGGAAAAAAAAAAATTCAGTATGTTTGCATCTTACTCCTTTGAATGATCATTTTAAAACAGAGCATAAATAAACTGTACACAACAGTACACAATGTATCAAATCAAGTCTGTGTCCAAAATTACTCATTCCCTAGAGCACTATGTCGTGGACTATATCAGAAATGAAAAACGGTGCGCAATCAATTACGTAATTACTGACGCACAATTAAAACAGACGGATGGATTCTGCTCAACTCTCCACAGTGTCGTCACGACTGCAATGCATGATGGGATATATTGCTTCGCTAGTGTACATCGAATGTACACTAAATTTCGCATAGTATTGTGAAATACACTGCGTGCCCTATATAGTGGACAACTTCACTCACTACACATGTGGACACTATAAAATGATTTCAGACCCCCCTCATAGCTGCTTGCATTAACCATATCATTTGACCACAATCTATCAAGAACTCAAAAAAATAGAAATTCAGGCTGGCGGTCGTTCTTTGTTGACCTGTTCTCAAGTAACAGACTGCAGACATTCTGTGTTGTACATGGATGTACAGTATTTGGATATCATTTGACCACAATCTATCAAGAACTCAAAAAAATAGAAATTCAGGCTGGCGGTCGTTCTTTGTTGACCTGTTCTCAAGTAACAGACTGCAGACATTCTGTGTTGTACATGGATGTACAGTATTTGGAGTCTGTGTTACACTCACCTCCCTAGTCCTGCCACACAGTGCACAGCCACACAGCAGCCAGGCTCATCTCGAAACTTTGTCTGCAGCAGATTCAGCCAGTCTTCGACCACCTGGTCTGGAGGAGCTGAGCCGTCATCAAATGGCCAGTCCTGAAAGAAAAATGCAGTGTGTGTTTATTTGGAAAATCTGTACTTCGAAAAGATTTAGGAAGCACCTTATTGTATGGATGACAAAAAGTGGGTTGTTCCACTAAAGATTCGGTGGCATCATCCACTCACCTGAACCTGAATGCCTTCTTGCTCCACCGGTGTCTTGTCATATGTAGCAGAACAGACTCTCACCAGGGTGTTAACACCATATGCCTTCAGATCCTGTCAAATACATTTTCTATTAACCTTGTCAATGTTTCTTTAATGGGGAAACCAAAACAACAACAAAATAAAGTTAGATAATTCCACTACCTCTATAAATCGTCCCAGCTGTGCATCAGTAGGGTTGTGTGTGATGAGGAATCTCAGACAGTCAAAAGAGATTTCCACTGGAGCGGGTCGGTTCATGATGGGACCAATGGTGAGTTTGTTTTTTTTAAATGAATAATTAAATACAATATAATAAGCGACAGTGCCTTAAATCGCTCAGGAAGAGACAGATGTATTTAAAAATAAAAGTAAAGTTGCTTAAATATTGTAGATGTTTGGCGGGGGAAAAAAATCAACTTTTACTATTGAAGTAAAGATTGAATCAATTTTTCTTAGAAAAGGTCAGAGCAGGGAAAAGAGGAGAGAAAATGTTTTTACAACTTCTTCCTTTGAATTTTCTGTAGCCTATTCAGAGAGGGTTTGTATCAGATGGAGATGATATGAGAAGTAAAAACAGGACAGAATAGAGCAGAAAAGAGAGTTCAGGGCTAAAACCAAATCCTCTCCTTCTCCTCTCAACAGATGACAGGCTAAAGGTTGGCTTCATATGGGTTCAAACAGGTGACAGGAGGAACCTGTGAGAAAGAGACATGTCACACACAGTCATAACACACATACATCACATATCTTTATCTTTATCATATCTATCACATATTTTACACTAGAAAAAACATCAAACACAACTTCCACAAAAAGGGTAAATATAGTGATGTTAATTTCCTCACAATACTTACACAGTATTAAACCCGAGCCTGTTTAGTTGAACACAACTGATGCATATTTGCAGGAATTGATAAAAGACACAACAGCTCTGGGCCTTTTTTTTTTAGTTTTTAAAGCCATCTGCTGCCACCTAGTGGAAAAATATTGTATTTTTTCTTTCAAGACAATTTGACGTTTTCAAAATGATCACTAACTGATCTGGCCTATTTTATCTTAAGTGGGTTAATACCAGAGTGGATGGATTGTGTATTAGACTGTTACTGCACACTTAACTGATATATGAAAGTGAATTATTTGTCACTGTGACACAGCTCACCACTGCACACACAATGAACAATGAAATGTGACCTCTGAGTTTAACCCATCAGCAAAGTGAGCAGGGGGGCAGCTCAAGTGCCTGTGGAGCAGTGTGTGGGGGCGTTGCCATGCTCAGAGCACTGACCTACTGTAATTGTCAATGTTAATGAAAATGTGTCTCTATATGTGGCCCTGACTGGGAACTCTCCATTGTGTTTCGCAGCCAAATGCTGAGATAGCACTTATCCTTAAAAAAAAGAAAAGAAAGATATGCTCTGATGGAGGGGTCTAACAGTTATGTGAACCTTGTTTATCTTTGACATTGGCGCCACCTGCAGCCCTTCCAATTTTATCTCTGTCACATTTGTTAACTGATAATATTTATATTTTTCTTTCATTGTTTTTGTGATGTTTAAATAGTTCTGTTACACAAGGACAATGTCTCACTGCTAGTGGGAAGAAAACGTACAAGTGAAAAATGTTTTGAGAAGAAAGAAGATGTACACGTACACACACACAGAAACGTCATACCTTTGTGGGTAAAAGGCAGTGTTTTGCTCAGCTTGCTTTCTTTCGTTCACTTGTCCACAATAAGCAGCAGGTGCTGGGCTTGGCAAAACTCCCCTCCGACTCTCGCAAACGCCATACATGTGCAGCCTGAGAGAAACAATGGCAAATGGTAGCAAAGCGGTGGACCTGCTTTACTGTTATAAATTATCATCATCTCTCTCTCTCTCTATATATATATAAACTGTATAAATATACATATATATATATATATATATACATATATATATATATATATATACATATATATATATATAAACTGTATAAATATACATATATATATATATAAACTGTATAAATATACATATATATATATATAAACTGTATAAATATACATATATATATATATAAACTGTATAAATATACATATATATATATATAAACTGTATAAATATACATATATATATATATAAACTGTATAAATATACATATATATATATAAATGACCAAGTCATTGTCTAGTCATTGTCTACGTCATAACTACTTACTGTCGTGAGAGCTGAGCAGATTGTTCATTGAGCGGACACAGGGAGTTGTGACGGCTCTGTGATGTGGACACACCATTGATGATGATGATGAAGATGATGCTTATCTGGGTCTAGGCAGACAACGGCCCACAAGCTCTCAGCTGCCTTGTTGTGCAGAAGAAAACATGGTGATTGATACCACTATTGCACACATAATATTGATTTGTTTCCTGTTTATCAATGAGAATAAAGCACCAGAGTCTAATTTGCCCAGTCATTTCACAATGACAACACATAACATTCTAAACGTCCAGTTAATAATAATACGAATCCACATGCCCTGACCACAAGAGGAGAAAATCAAAAAGAAGATTCAAAATAAAACTACAAAAATGCCATAACTCATTAAATGTGTTCTTCTTTTGGCTCTCCCCTGTAGGGGTCGTCACAGCGGATCATCAGGACTCACCCTGCCCCAGCCTCCTCTACTGTTACACCAACATTCTCCATGTTCTTTTTATACTACATTCATACTGTAATTCTTCTCTATTCCTATTAACTGGCAGCTCAGTCTCCAACATCCTTTACCCACTGTATCCATTATCTGTCCGAACATTTCAATCCTCCCCGCTCCACCATAGCTGTGCCCCTGACCTCCTCATGTCTGATCCTGTCCAATACACAACTAAACACAAATAAAGGTTGTCACTTGAACTGGTACAACTCACAACGGAAAAGAAAAAGGATGTAGACGGACAGAACACACTGTCTAAGCACACTTCCATGTATACGTGACGACTAACAATGACAAAGGACAAAACTGGGTATTTATTCTTAAGGAATATTCTGCATTTTGAGCCTTGAAATACCTCGACATTTACTTATTTTAACAATAGCTTAGTCATAGTTGACTACATGGAAGAAACATCACATATAAACAGAAAAAAAGTAAAGACACAAGATTTAAGTACGTGTATTTAAAGAGTGACGAACCTCACCTCATGTCACGGTAAGCCCACTAACCAGGTCATTCAAAGCAGGTCAATAACTGAACACACACACACACAGAGCTAATGGTACCAGGCTAAAGAACGGACCGCCTTCCAGACCCGTCGAACGACAGCACGAACACCAGCTCCATTAACGATGCTAACATTTACACAATGGACCTGACACACTCACATATAAGACAAGCACTTACAAGATGAGTAACTCAGAGAGAAATCCCAAAACGTTTCTAGTGACAGACGATAATCTGCAGGGTGGACATGATGAACAGAAACGGGAAGTGGCTGCTGTAACATCACTGCAGTGTCCGACGACTTCTTAAAAATAAAAGCCCCGCAATGGCGATACGTATTAGTTGGTTTGAGCAAAAAAACCTGTACTTTTATCTTGGCGGACAAGTTCCGGGAAAATTGACCTTATATTTTCAAACTTGACGTAAATACACACGTACACGTTTATACCTTAAGCACAAAGCCCGGTCGAAAATACATTTCTGTAAATTTTACATTCTAATAATTATATAAATTTTCAATAAAACATTTGAAATTAATATTAATTTATTTTTTGTGTTAGTAAAAGCGCGGACTTCTGGCCCACAACTAGGTGAGTCATTACTGCCATCTCCTGGCAGGCATGAAGTGTACAACAATATGGTGATTTAGACAGTCAAAAACAGCTTTATTAGCATGGCGATAGGCCACATGGTGGAAGAGTAAAGCTTTCACCCCAGCAGTACCATATGGTTTATCTGTGTGCTGTCTGTATATCCTCAACTCATGTGCGACGTTTTTGGCCTTCAGGTCAATAACAACAGTGGTCTGTCTTCTTCTTCTGTTAGTTTAATATTAATAATAACAAGGTGTCTTCAGTAGAGAAACCCTACATTAATAACAACAGCCTACCCATACATGAATAGAGCAAAAATCCAGGTCTAAGGTAAATGTACACTAATGGAATCCTCAGCAAAGGCATATGAGATCCCTATTTACAGGAAGGGAATATAAAACCATATAATTTAATTTGTACTCTGGACATCCATGACTTCTCAGCATTGACACATTCCAGCCAAAAACAAAACAGTTTTGTTAAAGTCATTCTTCTGAAATTTTGATTCAATTTTTGTATTATTTGTCCTCCAAATGTGTTACTGTTGTTTTTTGCCATTCCACTTTCACTAGCTTTTTTTAGGTCCCATGGTGATTTATGGAATAAAAAAAGAGAAAAGAAATAGAAGAAATACTGGCAAAACAGACAACAATTCTTAGCATGTATATGGCAAGGCCGGGCTGAGGCAAGACTGACGCTACATACACTCAGTCACTCAGGGATCACTTGCTGCCTGCCTGATATTGTTGGCTTGTTCGGCAACCAAGTTCTGGTACGACAACCTGGGCAATTTCTGGTTAAAAATTTTGTTCATGAACCGAATTGTTCAAAAAGGAAAGCGTTCAACAACCGAGGTTCCACTTTATATTGTACAGCTTAAAACATATAAAATGCTGTGTTTCAGTCTGTACACTTGACATTTGTTGATATATTTTACATAATATACATTCTTTCTTCTTCCTTCTTGCAGTCCAGATATAAAAACAGTTCTTTATGAACTGTTTTTAAAAGTATTCATCAACTCCCATAGGTTTTTGTTTAACCTGTGTTACAACACAAAAGGGTGTGTCATTCCTGTTTCTCTTTCAGTCCTTGTCTCTCTAAAACACACACACACACACACACAAACAAACACACACACACACACACACACAGACACACACAGGCATGCATGTTGGATGCCCCGTGCTCTGTGTTCCTGCTGTATGAATCTGTTTCTACCCTCATTTTTGAAACTGACAAACTGACAAGACAGGACAGGCAAAGTGAGTGTGGGTTTGTGTGTGTGCGTGTTGTGTGACGCAGCTGCTGCCGATCTGGTTTGGCTGGATTTCTGACAAGAGGGTGAGAGAGGCAGAGACAGAAGAGTTGGAGAGGAAACAAGGGAGGGAGAGAGAGAAAGAGAGAGAGAGAGAGAGAGAGAGAGAGAGAGAGAGAGAGGCTCAACTCAAGGAAAACGTACTTTTGGTCCCACTTTAGTGTTCTCCTCTGTCGTTCTACCTTCTCATGCTGTAGTCCACTATTGTTTTGGGGATTTTTATGTGTTAAGTTTCACCAGGTAAGTTTCTACTTCTATTTATCTTTTTTAAAATGTACTGAGTGACTTGAGTAAATGGTGAACCAACAACTAAAATCAACAGGGTGGTAAAAGGAGCCACATTTGTTTGGTCTTATTTGTGAATAAAACAGGACGGTTACAAAATTCATTTTTGTTTTTTGCCCCAAAAAGTGTCAGAGTTAAGTTAAAGAAACAGCGAGAGTGACTTTGGTAACTGATGACTAAGACACAAAACATCTTAAGTGTGGGGGAAAGATTGAGTAACAGGGAAAAATCTCTAAAAAGAGAAAATAGTGTTCCTCCACATGGATGTCAACACTGAAACAATCAAGCCTCAGGAGTGGTGGAATGTTGGTTAGGATCCACATTTCCTCTTTTATCACAGGAAGGCATGCAGTTGCGATGTGAATTTAACTGATTGGGTTTCGGATCAGCAGCTGAGGTCTTTATGATGATGAATGAACAAAACTTCTCATTCTTCATATCAAAGCAGTGGATATGTAAATATGAAATGTAAATATGAGCACTTTTCTGCCTGGAGCGTGGTGGAAACAGGCTGAAAAACGTGTCTCAGGAAGTGGAATTCACAGTGTTAACACTGCAACGCCCTGCCGACACTCCTGTTTCTGAAAGCTAAATATTCCAGTCTTTTATAAACAATGAATGATCCTCCAGTCTCATTAGAACCCAGAGTTTCTGGGCTTGGAGTTAGTAAACCCATATGGGTTTAATCTGTGTGACTTTCAAGTGAGTGAGTGGGAGAGTTACAGAGCTGTGAATTCTGTTTCACTCTACCTGTGTCAGTGGTTATCAATACACCTAATGTACTATTGTTGTGTATTTTCTATTCATTGTTTCTTTGTGAACAGCCTGTATGGAATAAGAGGAAGTCTAGGCCAAATGAATTGTCTGTTAATAATTGGAGCTTAAGAAAGGTGTACTCCGAGGAACCATATGGAACAGAAGATACAACACACTGTGTTAGCTGTAGCATCAATACAGCACCGGTTTATTCCATGTGAATTCAACAGAAAATACAGTAGATATGTTTTATACGCGTGTGATGGATTTTGTTTCCTTAGATTTAGTGTGAATCACACCAGAAACTCAGTATCCAGGCAACAAAAAACTCAGAAACTACACAGGAAACACAGGAAGTGTGTCAGCTCATTTATGATTCCAGCAGGGGCGCTTCAGACCCTGGGGTCGTTCATCGTTCATATCAACCAATCTGTTGGCACTGTGCCCAGTATTTTAAATAATATCAGGATATTTTACAGCTGATCATGGTTTTAAAGATGTTTCTTTACATTTTTGTTGGTCTGTGTTAACAAGAATTAAGCTAACGTAGGTGTCCAATCTAACAGATGTCACTCAAATTTTAGTTTTGAATAATATACTAATGCAGCATTTTATCACAACTTACTTACTCCATGTGAAACATTAGCCTGTTTAGTTAAAGACAAAGCAGTGTCTTTTTTATAGCCATATGCTGCCAAATGGCAGAGTATTTAATTGTTCAGCTTGTCACTGGAGCACAGATGGAAAAAAGTATAGTTTCAGTAAATAAATATGGTAATAGTTTTAGACCATTTAAGTGATCATTTTTCACTGCACAAGTAATGATCTCTGGTTGGACTAATGGAACAAGAATGAAGGCCACACCTGAGACACCTTGGGTTTTTCCCCAAGTGGTCTAGGTTTTTGTTTTTGTCTTGTACAGAGTGTTATAACAATAGCTTGTGGCACAAACAAAAGTCAGGAGCGCAATCAATAAGACTGCAAGGAACAATTACTTCTGCTCTATTTTCCTATTATATACGTAACTAATAATAAGGTTCAGAATTTTTTTTAAAAGCATTGATAAGTGTATCTTAATTTCAATCACTTTTTAGTTCAGCCGAAAATATAGTTACCAAATGGTCTCCTAATTGTTTTAGTCATGAAGACATACCAAATACAGCACACTGGGGGGTATAAGAAAATATTGATACACTGAAATATTGCGATATTTCATTTCACAATACTGTATCAATATTCTACAGCACTGTATCATTTTTTTTATCAATTAAGATTTTTCATGGTTCATTTTTGTGTTGCACTTAAACCTGTGACCACTAGCTGATTGTGCAGGGACTGCATATATTTGCAAGTATTTGAGACTTCGAGACAAACAATCTTATTTTTTCATTTCATCATATCCTGCAAATCCTTTCATTTCTTCTCTTGTGATAACAAATGTAGATCTATCTGTTCCAATTTTAGTAACATGATGTAAAGCTTCATTGTGTGTTTACTGTGCTAACAGCTAGCTACTGCCTATGGTATCACAGTATATCGTATTGTTGTATCGCGATGCGTATTGTATCGATCCTTGCCAACACACCCCTACAGTACACAGCGTTTTCTTTGTCTTAGATCTATAAAAACGGGAAACATTTTTGCAACTTGATAATTATTCAGTAATCTGTGACAAGAAAGAAACTAAAATCAGCAAGTGTTTTCTGTTATATATTTAGATATTCACATCAATACGTACTTCTATGTCCACTACAACTCTCAGAGCCTCTCTACGTCTCACTCACCCTAACATTGAACCATCCGTCTTTGTTTCTGGTTAATCTGATGGTACTCCTCACCTGGTTGGCTACCTGGCAACTATGGTAATTGTTGTTTACACACCACAACACAAGGCTTATGTTACCAGACGGATTTACTTCTGAACATTTCTACCACCAAGTGGTAGAAGCAGAACTGTATTCTCTGGTTGGACTGACCTCCAGGTGACAGAAACAGCCGCACAAAGAGAAGCAGAACCTGCTGATAATACAGACAATAGCTGTGTGTACTCAAACTGAAACAGCGTTGGAGGCGATAGAACACAATGTTGTTCATCAAACATATGGAATATGGAAAATATAAAGATATCATAAAGAGGTAACTGGATGTCAGACAAAGCAAACAGTTGAACAGCTGTGCAACTGTAGCTGCATCACAGCCTGTTATGCAGGACATGTGCTACTGTAGGTGTCCCATGACACATTAGTCCAAAATATTAACAACACTATCTATCCATCCATCCATCTATCTATCTATCTATCTATCTACCTATCTATCTATCTATCTATCTATCTGTCTATCTGTCTATCTATCTATCTATCTGTCTATCTATCTATCTGTCTATCTATCTATCTGTCTATCTATCTATCTGTCTATCTATCTGTCTGTCTGTCTGTCTGTCTATCTATCTATCTATCTATCTATGTATGTATGTCTGTCTGTCTGTCTGTCTGTCTATCTATCTATCTATCTATCTATCTGTCTATCTGTCTATCTATCTATCTATCTGTCTATCTATCTATCTGTCTATCTATCTATCTATCTATCTGTCTGTCTATCTATCTATATTTTTTGACAAACACATATCAAACAATGGCAGCAGTACTACATGCGGAGAAGGCTCTAAAGGCTACAGATAAAGTGGAAAAAAGTGGAAAAAATACGCTCTAAAGGCTATAGATAAAGTGGAAAAAAGTGGAAAAAATACCATAACTAAAGTTTGTTTCCATATGAAAAAATATAATTTATAATATTTAGCTTTGGTTGAGCCAAATTTAATGTTTACACAAAACTAAAGTTTGTTTCCATATGAAAAACTTCTACATTACAGACCTGGAGAGAAGGGAGAAGATGAACAATGTGCCATCAATCTTAAGTGTGGTCCGTGACTTTGTCCCAGTGTTTAATTGGGCCCACTGTGAATTTGAGTTAGGTCAAGAATTAGGGTATTCCATGGAAATAAAGCCACAGCTCATGCCCAGTGACTCGTTTTAATTTAGTCTAACTAATTAGTGTGTGAAATTCAAACACAAATCTGAGGTTTCAGAATGATCACCGGTCACAACTGACCCACATCTCCAGAATCAAACAACTCAAGCTTTCTCTTTTAAGACAACAGTCAGTGAGTTTGATGAAGCCGATGTAAAGTAGGGTGGATAAGCATAGACCTAGTTGGATGTTAAAAATGTATAAATTACTATTATTACTGTAGAAGAAATGCAAACTGTTATTTTTACCGTGACTTTCTGACAGCATTAAACTGGACGCAGGTTGTGTTTTTAAATGTTAACAGCGTTAAAAAAAGTCTTAACTGGACGCAGGTTGTGTTTTTAAATGTTAGCTTCTCGCCGTTGACAGTCACATTGGTATGAACCAAACAGGTCAGTGCATGCTGTGTTTGGGTGCAGCTGCTTATGGTGAAACTCATCGTGTTGCATCGTGTCATCTGAGGACTTGAGCAAAATGTGGGTTCTGCCTGACAGAGTGGGCAGAAATGAAACATATTCAAATCGAATCCATTAGAAAAGGAAATGAAACCGTCTGACAAAAATATCTGTGTCTTTTCCTGAGGCTGCGGTTGAAGATAACAGGTGTGTGTGTGTTTTTCTCCCTTTGCTCTGTTGTACAGGGTTCACTTGTGTCAATCTCCTGGACCAGTACAGCAGCAGTGATGAACTGGTCAGGACTGGAGAGCCTGGTGAGTGGAGTGAACAAATACTCCACAGCCTTCGGGAGGATCTGGTTGTCCATGGTTTTCGTGTTCCGTGTGATGGTGTTTGTAGTGGCCGCTCAGAGAGTGTGGGGAGATGAGAGCAAAGACTTTGTTTGTAACACTCGGCAGGTGAGCGACACACAGAGAAGCACACACACCCACACTCAGCTCTTTGTTAAGTGATTCTGTTTTTTTAATGACATTTTATTTACAGGCTTTAAAACAACTCTGACTGTTAGTACATCATCAGTCTTGAGACAGTACTTGCTATTGTAAAAACTTACCCTTCAGCAACCTGTCTGTACTTACAATACCTCATAGATATTGTAGTATCCCATAAAGTATACATAATGAAATTTAATTTACTCACAATTGATGTATTCGTTGTGAAATGTGATCCTGTTTAGTTGAACACAACTCTGAAATTCTCATGGAAGTTGTAGAAGGAGAAGCCTTTGAATAATTTGAATAAAAAAAGTGTTTTCCTGACCATAGGAGAGTATTTAATTAGATTTGAATAAAAAAAGTGTTTTCCTGACGAGGAAGAGTAACAAAGTTTGCTGTTTTAACCCATATATCTAGATCATTGACAGCGATCCAACATGGACACAGGCACAACTAAACACACTGGATTCTTTTTCAAAAGATATTTAGTTGTTTATTGGTGGACTTGTTATGAATAGTATTGTAATTCACTCACTGGCTCACAGTCTGACTTTAGCTTCCCTTCTCTTTATGGGATTTGCTGATTGAACAGCTTTTTCCTAAAACTGCCACATGGTGGAAAGTTTCTAATTTCAAAGTTGAGCCGCATCAGCAGGATTGTACAAGGCTATTGTTTACCTCTGGTTTACATTGTCAGTATTTATAAGCAGTCGTCACCGTGCTCTCTTTCCTCTACTCCGATTCCTGATTTTGCCAGGCAGTGAGTCATAATGTGGTTTAAGGGCTGGGTTGTGTGGAAAAAGCAGATGTGAGGGGGAGGGATTTATCTGTAACTGTGAAGCCCACAACCTTTTCCTAGGCTCTCTATGACTGGGGTTTATTTCACTCAACTTATATACATCAGGAAGAGTCAAGGTTTAAAAACAATTAGAGAAACAATTACAAAGAATGTTTTTGAAAATTCTGATAAAAAAAACCCAAAGTGTTTTTTTTGTTTTTGTTTTTTGTTTTTTTTTGTTTTTTTAAAAAAAGATGATATACTTGAAAGTAATACATTATTGTGAGTGTGAGTGGGTAGAAACTAAGGTCCGGGGGCCAGATGCGGCCCATTCAGCTATTTAATCAGGCCCACAAAACTTTTCCAAATTATATAATGTATTTATATTATCATTATACTTCTGCCTTTTCCCTGCAATACCCACCTTTCCCCAATAGATGTCATGGTAAATGAAAAAAGCATTTTAGTCTTTAAACATGACTTTTACATGTCATTTATCTTAGTTCACACAAACGGCCCCGGCCCCTGCCTTTCAATTTTAGGACAATTCTGGCTCTCAAGTCAGAAGTAATGTGTCAATGAAACAATAGTATATTTGACACAGCTAAACCTATAAAAAACTACAAGGCTTCTGTGAAAAATCAAAGCCACTGTAGTTATTATAACAGTTTTTAATGTCAAAAATACAAGTTTTTAAATAATATCTTTCTCTTTTCCTCATCTACAGCCTGGCTGCACCAACATCTGCTACGACCACATCTTTCCCATTTCCCACATCCGTCTGTGGGCGCTACAACTGATCTTCGTCACCTGCCCATCTCTGATGGTCATGGCCCACGTCAAGTACCGTGAGGGGAAGGACAGAAAATACGTGGAGCTGCATCATGGCTCACATCTGTATGCCAACCCAGGCAAGAAGAGGGGAGGGCTGTGGTGGACATATCTGCTGAGTCTCATCTTCAAAGCTGGATTTGACATCGCCTTTCTCTACATTTTGTTCAGAATATACCACGGCTACGACCTGCCCAGGTACTGTCGCAATCCTAGGCTGCGTTCACGTCAACCGTGACAAACAAACACCTGTATCAGGGCACTTGATCATTCACACTTGTCACGCATGTCATGCTAGAGGTTCTGAGAATAAAGTCACTAATGTAGTAAAACCAGCTACAGATGGTCTCACGACACCAGAGAGAGTGCCACCTCCAGGCTAACTCTGACACATCCTTTTTTTTTTCAAATTCCAATCCCGATAAAACGTAAATCATTAAAAACCTTAATCTCTGCTTAACTTCAGGGAAGTGACATCAAAATAAAGTCATCTGTGATTGGATGTCGTGGCACGGTGCCGTCTGAAAAGTTACATTTTCACGTATCATGATAACAATTTTGCATTGTATTTTTTTGTGCTGTTCTTAGGTTATCCAAGTGTTCGTTGGAGCCGTGCCCCAACACTGTCGACTGCTTCATCAGCCGCCCCACGGAGAAAAAGATCTTCATGTTGTTCATGGTGATATCCAGTGCACTGTGCATCTTCATGTGCTTTTGCGAGATGATTTATCTCGTGGGAAAACGCTTCAGCAAACTTTTGAGAGTGCGACACGAGAACCAGAGAGTCATATTTGCTGATCAACACGAGCTAACTGAATTAGCCCCGCCCAGGTCACAGTATCGGAGAACAGACCCGACACTCTCAGCCAGCAATCTGAATTTGAATAAGGAGAAAGTGAGAGAAGGTACTACAACTACAACATTGTAGAACACGGTGGTCCATCATCTACGGAGGGAGGTGGACACCAAAGGAACAATGAAAAAACAAACTCTGAGAAGTCTGAGAAGGATCTTTGACATCCTTTTTACTGTTGTACTGCACAAAGTACACAAAGGTGACCAACTCTACTATAATACTGGAACACAAGAGTCTTTAATATATGCTGAGAAACCCCAGGAGGTTCACAGTTTACCTGTAGTCTTTTGTATGAACATGTCAATTACAGCACTTCAATCATTGTTGAAAGCTTATCATTATTATTTTTCTATTTAAAAAAAATCCTTTTTAGAAAATGTCCATCACACAACTTTGGAGCAGTGAGACAAGGAGTGAGCGAGTGAGCGAGTGACTGTGTGAATGAATGAGTGAGTGAATATAAACAAACACATGTAAAGAATGTTATATAGTTATTATAGATATATAGCAATGTATAAGCTGCACTCTACTTTTGTCAAAACATGTTCAGTCTCAGGGCTTTACCTTGAATCTAGGAAACTTTCCACTTTATCCAATCAGGAGCCAGGGGACTGTGGTTTAATGGTTATGTAAGGCATTGCATTATAGGCTTGTTAAAATTAGAATTTCTTGCAAACTATGGATAGAACTATAAGATTGATGTTTTGACTACAGAAAGTTGAATGGAGAAAGGCTGTTGTCTGGTCAGATTAGGTCAGATTAGATTGAACCCCACTGATGCCACGCTGGGAAAATGGAAAAAACACAGCATTCACTTTTAAAGGCTGCGATTGAAGGCAGTCTGGAATGACTTTTGTAACAATGTCCTCTGTTGACATAACATATTCAAAGGCTTCGTCGCCCAAATATAAGACAAATCTTGGCAGTACAGAGAAGTCTTCTGTAAACTACCCAGTGGACGTAAAAGATAAAGCAGACATACAGACACAGCTAATGGTGCAGAATGGGCACAATTTGAATTTGCTGGTTCCTGGTGCTTGTTCACTACCACAAACCTTAAACAGTATATTGGTACGTAAACCATAAAAAGATGTTCAGAAAAAGTCCCTAAAATGTAATACAGTAACAACCTGAAACACACTGGTTTTATTTCATGGGTGACTGTGAGGTACAGCTCTGACTCCTCTGGTGTTTGATGACAATGTTGATTTAAAACAACAGCCATCGTACTCCCTCTAAACACATCCTCTCTGAGGAGAAAACACAGTCCACCTCGTCAGTTGACGTCACCTGACCCCAGTTCATGAGTTTGAGCTCATCAGCAGCCGTTAACCCAGTGGTTCTCAAACTTTCTCTGCTCGGGCCCCCTTTGGTTCAGTAGAAAATCTTTTACACCAAAAAAAAAAAACAAACCAGGACCCCTGTAATGACACTGGGGCCCCCTATGAATTGCGCCCCCCAGTTTGGGAACCTCTGGGTTAAAGTACCAGGTTTCTGCAAGTCACTGTTTTTTCTCTTATTGTCACTCAATCTGACATTTTTGTTAGACTTTTACAGTCGGCTCAAATATTAACAACAACAACAAAAATAGAAAGATAGACAAAAAAAACACAATATATGAAATGCCAGCCAAAGACAAAGTAGGTATTAGCCTCAGTATGTAGTTTACAGAGAGTTGTGTATTCTTCATAACCACTGACCTGCTGTATGGAACACTAATTTCTTTTTTAAATTATTTAGGTTATTTTTTTACACCATGCTCCTTGTGTTCCACTTGCGTGGAATGTCAAAATGCTTTATGTCTTTGGTACAAATGTTTCTTGTTGTTAAATAAAAAAAATATACAGTTCCTACGCAGTCTCTGTTTTTGTTTTACAACTGGATTTTCACTTCTTTTACTCGGCTCCATACAACTCAGTAAAAGAGCCCCGAAAACACCAACGTACTGTATATATGGAGCGTTTTGGGTGTGTTTGTTGCTTAGTTACTGCCGAGTCCAAAATTAGAGAGGCGTTTTTAATGGAATGTACTGGTTATATAAAGTTGGGAATAATAGAAGTGTTGAACCTAGTCAGGAGTTAACTGGTTTATATTTAGACAGAGATGACTGTAGGGAGGAGTACTGTAGTAACTACAGTACAGTATGTAGTAACAATGACTCCTGTTACTTGTTTTTTAGAAGAAGAAACAAACATGACAGTAGCACGAGCACAGCCAACAGAAGATAAAAGTCTGGGCTTCACTATGTTTTTACCCAAACTGAAGAAGCCTCTTTGATGAGAGGTAGAACAGCTTCAGCTCAGCTTCTGGTTCTGCTGCTTGGCTCACAGGATCAAAACAAGTCTGACCTAGATTCATAGAGATTTTTACACAGATTTACACAGACTTTTCATTTCAGGAACAGATTTTTTCCCAATGTTTATAGGATTGTGTAAATACATATAGTATTGGTGTATTCAACGCCATAGAATAATGTTAATGAAGCAGAGGACCGGATATCGTACAATGTCATAATCCTAAGAAGTGAAGCACGAGACGTATTGTTGTATAGGGTTACTTCTCAAGTAGTGGGGCGTGCCCCTGGGGGAGGGACGGGGCGGGAGGTGCTGTGAGGTGCCAGGGGGGCGGTGAGGGTCTTCCAATGGAATGTGGCCTGCTGGACATAAGTGTACCACTGCTGTAATGCTTGAATGATAACAAGCTTCCAGTCACTAGGTGGCAGCAACTCCTACAGTGGTTAAAGATAAAAGTATACATGTCATCAGGTTCTCAATAGTATTTCAATTTGCAGGGGTGTGGGTCAGGGTGTGGGGAGTGAAAACACTTCTGTCCCCAGGGGGGGGGGGGGGGGGGTAGACAGTAGGTGAACAGTAGTGTAGAAACTGTGTTCCTGCCTGATGGAGAGAGGCTGTGTGTGTTCTTTGATATATTTCCAGCTACAATTATGGTTCATTTTTCACTGCAGCTACTGCAACATATGCTGGTAGTTAAAAGCCACAGAAATGTTTCCAACACACTATACTGAAAATATGTGACAAATGAACCACCGTGAGGCGCTAGAGTCCAAGATATGATGTCCTAGTTTCATACGCAGGCCTCATAGAAACAGGAAAGATGTTTTCTCACATATTGATATGTGCAGCACCAGAGGAAACAAAGGTGTTAGATATTACAATAAAAGTGGTATTAATAATGAATTGCCCCCGTATTTGTCCTAAGATCGTATCGCGTGGCGTTTCCTCCCTGTCCGTCTCTCTGTTTGTGTGTATTTGTGTGTGTGCTGTGTTC